AATCAAAATGCCTGCACTTCACACACAAGAAATTGAAGTATCACTTCCCACTGATCAACCACAAAGGTTGTTCAATGCATTCACTCTACAGGTATGCAAGCCCTCTTCTGAGGGCTACATAGTGAAGAAAACAGAAGATCCCTGATTTCTGGGGTTTTCCCCCTACTGAGGGAGTGAGACACTCAACAGGAAGGTCAGTAAATGTGTGTGAGCAGGTGTGTGCTAAGTTCTATGGCATAAAGTAGGAGTGCAGAGATGGGGGTCTATTATTAGAGCTTGGTTGAGGAAGTAATCATCTGATAAAGGTTCACTTAGGGTGAAGGAGCAAGGGAATAAAACCAGAGTGGGAAGTACAAAGGGCTGAAGTGGGAGCAATCTCAGAGTGTTCCAGAGACAGCAGAGAGAACAGCATTGCTGAAGGGAGTGGGAGAGGGAGAGTAGGAAGTGGGATCTGAGAAGAGAAGACAGCTAGTTGTGGACAGGGAATTTTGCTTTGAGTGTCAGAAAGCCAATGATAGGCTTTGACCAAAGGGTATGGAAGGATATGACTCAGATTTCAAAAGGTCACCCTGATTAAGAGAATAGAGAGGAGATCACCCCAATAATCCTGGTAGAGATGGGTTGGACCAGGTGACAGGGCCAGGGGTGATAAGAAGTGGTCATTCTAAATATATTTTGAAGGCAGAGTTGTGGGTTGTGAACAAAAGGTTAACCCCAAAGACTGTAGCCCAAGTAAATGAAAAGAGAAAATGCCTTTTAATCAAAGAGGGGGACTGTTGAAAAAGAGGTGGAGACGCAGATCAGGAGTCAGCCTTTGAAAAGGCTGAGCTTGAGATGCTGACTGGCTGTCCAAGAGCAGTGGCTAGAGATACAAATTGGAGACCAGGGAAAAGTCCTCTCAGGCTCTGGGGATTCACAACGGGGAGCATTAGACAGTTAATCACTTGGGTGTGTGAAAAGCCAGGAGACTGGATGAGCACACCTAAGGAATGAGGACAGATGGGTCTTCATGGCTCCCTGGGGACTTGCCAAAGTTCCGAAGTGAGGGAGATAAGAGTCTTGAGAAGGAGCCTGAGAAGAAAACAGGGACGGCCATGGGTGTGGTGTCCTGATGAAGCCATAATCAGAAGGAGTCTCAAGGAGAAGGGTTTGAGTAACTGCCAACTATTGCTAATTGGTCACATAAGACAAGACTGAGAATTGACCATGGGATCTGAAAACATGGAGGTTGCTGGAAACCTTGGAATGAACTATTTGGATGAACAGGTGAATACAAAAGAGCATGGGAGGAAAGAAAGCAGGGACTTCAAGATTAGACAAGCTTTGGAGGAATTCTGTGTAAAGCCCAGAAAACTCATGATGCTGGAGTGACAGTTGTGGGTAGATGAGAGGGGATGTGACCTAATGAATAATGGAGACCTCCTCCTTAGAGGTAATTCCTTAGCAGTTTCCAGGGTACACGAAACCAGCACTAGTCACAGTGCAAATCATCCCTGGCTCTTTGAAAATGTACATCAGCACATATCTAGAGCCTTGAAAAATGCCCATGCCCTTGACCCATTAATTCTACTTCTGAAAATCTCTCCTAAGAAAATAATTCCAAATACGGAAAAAGTCCTCTGCATCGAAGCTCATCACAGAAATCTAGGTCTAGAAGCATCTAAAAATGAAACAACAGATGATGATGAGGACACAGGATAGATCTAGTCACTGATCTCTGAGCTCCATGAGGACAAGGACAGTGTTTGTTTTATCTACCACTGTCTCCCAGCCCCTACCATAGTTGTTAAATGAATTAATAAAAATTATTATAAGGTTAAGCTAAAAAGATATAAGTACCCTAAATAATAAAAGGATAATATGTAAATTGTTCCCTCAACCAGGAGTTCCACCAGAGGGTGTGGCTGGCTGGCCAACCACCTTCAGCCCCTCCCCCCAGCCAGCCCTGCCCCCAATTGGCCCTCTGCCCAATCAGGGCAGAGCAGCCGGACCCCACCCATGAACAAATTTGTGCACCGGGCCTCTAGTTATATATAACTATGCTTAAGTATTATATATAACAGTATGGCCTCAATCATGTTTTAAAAATAATAACTTAACACTAGATAAATAAAAACTAAAGAAATGGCTCCACAAAATGTAAATAATTATCTTTCTGTAAAGGAACATGATTTCCTCTTTCATTTTATTTTTGTGTAGTTTGCATTTTTTTATGATTGAATCTGACTTGTTTTATAATGGAAAAAACAAGCAAGGTCATTTCTTGAGAAAGGAAAGGCTAGAGTTAGATGAGTTAAGCTCGCACCATCAGGATTTGATAAGGCTTTGCACTCGTTAATGGTTCCCAGGCACCTTTTGTGGGTGAGAGTCTCCAATTGCTGCTATGATGCTCTTCACTACCAGCAGGGACAGGTCCTTACCTGGGCCAGCCAAGGCTCCTCTGGGAGCCTGAGAGATTCTGTTCCAGGGAACCAGCTTTCACTGCAGCATTTTCTAAACTCTTAATCAGCTGTCAAAAATAATATCCAGTAGGACAAAACACTTGATGATACAGTTTTAAATGAAATAGAGCAGAATACAGAGAGTCGTGTTCGTAAGAATATAACTATGCAAATATTTATTAAAGGAATGAAAAGACTGTTTGGCAAATATTTATTAAAGGAATGGAAAGACTTCAGAAGAAATATGTTCACATACAGTCAGAGAAGAGATAACCAACCAAACCTTTTCATCAATATCCCTTTAAAGCCATATCCCCAGAACTGGAATTCCTAAAGGCCAATGCCTGGTGCCACAGCAATATCTTCAGGTGCTCCAAATTCCGGGATAAACTGTTTCTTAGAGCAGAGCTTCCCAAACTTGCATGTGTGCATCACTACCTTGTGGGTTTTGATAAAAATGCAGATTCTGATTCAAAAGGTCTGGGGTGGGAATACCAAATTCTGCATATCTAACAAGCTCTGGGTAATGCTGAGGCTGCTGGTCTTCTGAAGACACTCTGAGCGTCGAGTTCCCAGAGTGCTGAGTAGCCAGGAAATTCCAAGGATCATTGGGAACCAGGAACAATAGGCAACCATCTAGGCAGGCAGTGCCAACTGACGCAAGGTGAGAAAAGCAGAGATGACACTTCATAAGGCCTCCACCCACTACTCCAATTCCTAATGCCCAGACCTTCACCAGATGCATAGCCTGGTCTCTGGTCCTCACGCCTCTTGGCACCACTTAGAAGAGTGATGTAAAGCAAACTCCAGGCAATTTCAAGCTCCAGTTCCTTGGGGAGATTGGTCAATGACATCTTGCTGGGATGGGTCCCAAGCCTGGGCTTTACTGGCAGGTGGTTGCCTGAAGCAACCAGCAGCAGATGGCACAAGTTGCATCCAAGAAAGTCTCAACAATCTATCAAAAACTGGGACAAAGTGAAGAAAGGAAAAAAATGGGAGAGTGGCCAAAACCTGGGAAAAAACAAACAGTCCCAGGAAGGGAGCTGATGAGTCAAAGGGCACTTGTCTTGGGTGTTGGCTGCACAGATTCTTGCTTAGGGCCAGGCCAAAAAGACAATCAGATATGGCTGTTCCATCTCCTGCTGCCTGGCCCTTTGCCAGTTCCAGGAGCCTCACAGTGAGGCTCCTGAATACCCAGCCCTAGAGGCCATGATGGGTCCAGCCACTGTCTATTCTGCTATCAGGCCCAGTCATCCCATCCAAAGTGGTCCATGAGCAATTTTGACATTTCCATCTTCTGCAAGGACAAGCTATCTGATCCACACGCAGATGGAGCCTTTGATCTGGCTTGGCACCTAAAAAACTGCTCCATGACTTCCAAAGTGAGGTATTCATCCTCATCATAGCCCTTTCTCCATTTTCCTTGGTTGGAGGAAGGGGATCCCCTACTGCTATCAGCCTGCACTCCATTAAGCCAGACTCCAAGGACTCCCTGCCCCTCCCCACTACTGAAAGCCATTGGGAGGCCCAAAGATGTGAGGAGGCTTTGGAATAATCATGACACAAATCAGTTCCATGGTCAGAGTGTGGAATGAAGGAGGCTTGAGTCACGGTAGGCCTCAGCAGTGGTTGATACTGGGGAGGGTCACAGAGTCACTGAACAGCTGTCTTGTCAAGAGAGGTCCTGGGAGGCAAGGACAGGCAGATGATAACATGTGGCTGCAGCAACCTGAGCCCTTCCTGAGCTTGAGCATGACACAGGGCACCAGTCCTCAGCTGAGCAGGCACTTACCATGCGAAGCTTTCTGAGCTCTATCTGGGGCATGGAGGATACAAGCTCTATGACAATGCAGATGTCACCCTCAAGGCCTCACAACCTTATTAAGGGGAGATATTTACAGGCTTATTTCCATACAAGATGGCAGATGCAGTGCAAGAGGAAAGGGAAGCAATGGGATGTGAATCATATAATTCCTGCTGCTCGGAGAGATTTTCCTCCTTCAGAGTACTGTGAGGACACAAGGCTAGCAGAATCTGTTCTCTGTCATTGGGTATGCTAATCAGATAACAGTAACCTTACTGTCTTGCCTCCATAGAATCCTTTACTGCTTAGATCCACAAGTATCATCTCTCACAGAGGTTGGGGGCTGACCAATCCAGAGCTCTGAGTCCTTGTGCTCCTTCCCTCACCCCACAGTGACCTTGCAGTCTCATTGGTAGAGGTGGAACCCTGGGTTCCCAGACTGGACATCTGTTGCTGAGTTACCAGAATGAACCCTGCCTGCTACTTGCAGACCATCTCTGGCTCTGGCATCTGCTCAAGCTGTAAGGCATACTGTGACCTGAAGAATCCAGACTCAGAAGTCCCCCAGGAACAAATAGCTGAACCAGCTGAATGTCAGGCTTCACAAGGCAAATTGATGCAAAATTGAGCTCTTGCCAGCCTACCTGGGCCCCAGAAAGCCAGTAATATGGAGTATCACCCTCAGCTTACACAAGCCCACTTAGCAAAGTCAAGGAACCTGGCATGAGCAAGGCAGGGAGAAGCTCTGGTTCTGGCTAAGTGGGGTTGGACCTGCAAGTGAGCCTCAGAGACCCTTTGGAGACTTCCGTGTGTACTGTGGACAGGGGCAGGTGCTCCAACTCCTCCGATGGGGTGCTCTTCTGGCAAGTCAGCACCAGGGCCTTGACCTCCTTTTTGAAGTTGGTGTTGAGAAAGCCATAGATGAGAGGGTTGACACAGGTGGAGGCCATGGCCAGCAGGTGGCATACCACGAAGATGAGGTTGCCGTGACAAATGGGGATGGCCTCATGGTACCAGTCCTCCAGACTGTTGAACACATGCAGGGGCAGCCAGAGCAGGGCAAAGGCAGCCACCATTGCAGCAAGGATTCCGTTGATGCGCTTCATCTGCCACGCCTGGGAGCTGTGGCTGCCCTTGCGGAACACCTGCCTCTGCTTCCGCAGGCGCCGGTAGATGCGCACATAGCAGACCAGGATGAAGGCCAGCGGGATGCAATACTGGCAGAGCAGCAGGAAGGTGGTGTAGATGATGCGGTGGTGGCTCAGTGGCCAGGACTCGGTACAGACCACCTTGTCCGCCAGAAATTCCAGGGCCCTGGAATGATTCTTGTGAAAGACATTCTTCAGAATGCTGTTGGCCAGAAAAGGCAGGGAGAGGAAGCAGGCAATGAGCCAGGTAACCCCAATCCCCACGTAGGCCTGAGAGACACTGGGCTTCCAGCCGGTTGGGTTGATGATGAGCTGGTGCCTCTCTAGGGCCACAAGGACAAGAGAGAGGATGGAGACTGTCACTGACATGCACTGAATGAAGGCTGACATCTTGCAAAGGGCCTCGCCAAAGACCCAGTAGTCCATGATGGTATAGATAGCCGTGAGCGGCTGGCAGATAAGGCACATGAGGAAGTCGGAGAAGGCCAGGTTGGCAATGAGCAGGTTGGTGACATTGGCCTTCTCCTTCTGCCTAACCGTCACGCATATCAGGCAGAGGTTGCCCAGGACTCCCACAATAGTCTCGATGCTGTAGGAGATAACAATAAAGACCATCATGTCTGCCGAATCCTGGCAGTGGTCAGAGAAGTTGTACAAGATGCCCTTTGACTTACTGCTGTTTTGTCCCTGTGGGGATCCTGGGAGCAGCAAGGACGGAAAATGAGAGATATTCATGGTGCATGTGAGAAGATCCCGGGAGGTTCAGTGATGATAGCTGCAAAGCAAAGAGAAAATTGTACTCAGGGATTGTGCCTCCTGTTTGAAATCCAGAGAGGAGCAGGGTTCAGGGGGAGATGTTCTCAGCTGCTTGGTCCTCAATTGCTGGGACTTAGAGGACCTAAGACTCAGGGATGTAAAGAAAATTGCCCATAGTCATACAACTAATAAGTTATGGGGTCCAAATTCAAATCCAGATCTGTCTGATGCCAAAACTTGTTCCAAAAATAGTCTCTGACCTCAGGCCTGGAGGCAGTTTTGATAATAAAAAATATTTGGATTGTTGTACACAAAGTTCAGGGAGAGAATTGCTCAGGGAGCATGAGTAGAAATCTCCTTGTCAAATTTTACCCAAATAGGGACAGTGTCAATGCCACCGTGTGCTAAGGTCCTTCCATCACATGCCATGCCCTGTAGGGCAGACCAAAACCTCGGGTGACACACAGCACCCTCCTGGCCTCAGCCACTACCTTCCCTGCCAGCCTTGTTTATGGGATGATGCATGGCAAAGGTGAAGACTGCCGGGTGTGCAAAAGCCGGGTCATCAGCACGCTGGCTCTCCCTTCCTGCCAGCATGCGTACACACCTGTCATGGAATGCCCACTGCTCTCCCTAGGGGCTCCCTCCATGCCTATCTCAAGTCGCCTGAAACAGCTTGCAGTTCCCAAAAACAGCAGCCTGGACCACACCTCCATGCCCTGGCACCTGCCCTTTCTCCCTGGAGCCTCCACACTACAAGGGACCCACTGTCAGAATGAATTGGAATTTGGACTCCAGAAGCTCCAGGTGGTGACACCAGATGTTTTGAGATGGAGTGCCACCATATCATTGCACACACATGTGACCCACTTCCTTCTGAGTCCTCTAATCCCCACAAATCCCACAGCAGTTCTCAGCCTTCGGGGAACATCGAATCACATTGCCCTGGGGCACGATGCAGGTGCAGATTCCAGAGTCCCTTATTGGGAGATGCAGTTGAGTGAGTCTGGAATGGGGCCCAGAAATTGTATTTTAACGAGAGGCCTGTGTGATTCTGACCCTGGGCTCCCAGCCACTGGGGCTGATGATGAGCTGATGCCTCTCTCGGGCCTCAAGGACAAGCACGTGGTCCTGGGGACCCATTTCAGTAACACTGTTCACAGAGAAATACTCTCAGATATTCTTCAAGTCCCACACAATGGTCTCGTCTATTCGTGAGCAGGTATCTGTTCTCCATGATCAAGTGCTAAGTTAGAGCAGTTAATACAGAGTAGGGGCAAAATTAACCAGATGAGTAAAATTTATTTGTCGGCCATCATAAATGTCACTCCCCGTGCATTTGGTGTGGCTTATCCAGGACAAGATCAAGGCATGAATCCCACTGACAGTCCACAGCTTATTTCTTTTTTTTTCTTTATTTTAAAATATATTTTATTGATTTTTTATAGAGAGGAAGGGAGAGAGATAGAGAACTAGATACGTCGATGAGAGAGAAACATCGACCAGCTGCCTCTTGCACACCCCCTACCAGGGATGTGCCCGCAACCAACGTATATGCCCTTGACAGGAATCGAACCTGGGACCTTTCAGTCCGCAGACTGATGCTCTACCACTGAGCCAAACCGGTTTCAGCAGCCAACAGCTTATTTCGGTTACCAAGCCTCAGAGGTAACAAGATTTTTCCAGCACCACAGTCATCTGGCAAAAAGAGCCATTTGGGACTGGATGTGATAAAATGAAATATACCAGGACCACGTGTGAGTCTAGTTTTAGGGTCAAAAAACAGCCTCTGCTGCCCAAACTGTGGTGGAGACACTGCGCTGTCAGAGCAGCAAGTGGGACAAAACCCAAGGCCGAGGGCTCCACCTGGCCAAGGGCAGCACAGATCAGACTGGGAGGGCCAGATGGGAGGACTCCGGCAAGCTGCCTACTGCATTCACTCGGCCGCTCAGTAAGCACGTCCAAGCGCCATGCTACACACAGGGCTGCGAAGATGCCACAGACATTCGTGCCCGGACCAGAGGACTTGACCACAGGAATGCAGACGCACCTCCAAGCCACATCGCCATCGCCCCAGCCAGTGGGACGCGACGCCTGTGCGCTCTGGACTTGGCTCCCAGGCAGCTCCCGAGGTGGGAACACCCACCTGCAGCCGTGGGTAGGCCTCCGCTGCGCCTGCCACCCCCTCCCCCGCACCCCACACCCACACTCCACACCCCGACCCCGTCAGAGGAAAACTGGTAAATAACGCAACTACTAGCAAACGCTGGCGAGGGAAGAACGGAGAAAGGGACGTCTGCTTTGTTTTCTGAAATTTCAAGCAAGCAGGTCCTGTCCGCTAACGCCCGGCGCCCAGACTCTTGCCCGCAGCTTACCTCCTCTCCGGGGGGCCGTTACCTCCTCTCCGGGCGGCAGGTGAGGCAGCGCCGCGGCGCGGCAGGTGCGGGCGGGGGCGGCCTGGGAGCCCGGTCCCCGCGGGGCGTGGCGCGCCTCCCCGCCCCGCCGTGCGGCTCGGACCCCGCGCCCCTACCCGGGCGTGAGGCGCCCCTGCCGGACCTCTCGAACCCTGGCCCCAGCCCCTCGACCCCAGGACCTACGGGGCGCGCCGTGTAGCCCCTGCCGGCCGGCCGAGGCGCCGGCTGCGTCCGGAGCGGAGCCGCCCGGCCGTCCGCCCGCCGCCCCTGCGCGCCCGCCCGCGCCTGGCAGCGCGCCGCGCTCTCTCGGCCCCGCGGCGCGGGCCTCCGCCGCTCCCCACGGCGCTCCAAGCGACACCCCCGCCCCCAGCACCGTCCCCGGCGCCGCCGTGGGAACGGCCGGAGCTGTGAGCGCCGCCCTTTCTGGAACGGCAGCTCCCCTTGGGCAGGTGTGGACCCACAGCATTCCCCTTTGGGCATCACCACGGCTCCAGGAAGCGGGCGGTTTCTTCCAGCTTTTCTGTTGACGCCGAGCGAGCGCCTTTCCCGGTCACCCCGCTGGCCGGCCGTTCTCTGCCCCCGCCCCCTCCCCCCGGCCTGGGTCCGCGCACAGCGCGGTCTGACAAGGAGGGAGGGCATGCACGGTCTGCGACCTCCCTGCGACGTGGCTGCCGGTGTCTACCGTGCAGACCGTCTCCTGTCCACACCCCAGCCGCAGACCCGGCTCTGTGCGCAGCACGCCGCTCCCTGCTCCGCCGGCTGAGCAGCCTCCGAGGCCTGTGCGGAGCCCGCGAGGCAGGCTGGCCAGGGGCGTGTTTGACATCCACTCCCGGGGCACAGAGCCCTGAGCCCTGGCCCCATGGGTCAGAGCACAGCAGAGGAGCTGAGAGGGCTCTCCAGGCCGAAGAACCTGCTCTGATTCCACCCCCATACCCACCTGGGAAAATGTGGTCAGCCCATTTCACAGATGAGAAAACTGAGACTCAGAGAAATGAAGTGGCTTGTCTCAGCCACCTAACTTACAGGTGGTGGCGCTGAGACTTGAACCCAAACTCCAAGCTCCTGCGCCCTTCCTAAGAGCAGGAGGGAGCTGCTCACAGCAGACCTCCTAGTTGAACCCACACCGCAGGCGCTCTGGGTCAGACCCTTTCTCTGCCTTTGCCGCTGCGGAAGGAAAGAGCATCCCCTGGCGGCAGCACAACCGGAGCCAGGGAAGCTCCGCAAGAAAGCCAAGCACCCCAGTAAGAAGCTGGGAAGGACTTCCCCGGGCCGCTGGGGCCAGGACCCACCTGGAAGGTCCTGCCGGCTGGCCAGGCGGCAGGCCGCCCTCTCCGGGAAAGGGTTCAGTAGGCTTTGCCCTGCAAATAACACTGGGGCCTCACTTCCTGTCCCCGCGGGGAAACCACCTCGGAGGGAATGAGCACACTGATCCCTCAGGCATGTTTGGCCCTCAGCAGCTCTCAAGGTCAGTGTCCTCCTGGGCCCAGGAGAAAGCTGAAGGTCAGGTAAAGGGATGGCCCCAAGCAGCCCCTGCACTGGCGATGACTGGGTTGTCACTACCTGGAGGGCCAGTGTGGTGAGCAGTCTCATGCTGGACTTGGTAGCCAGCTCGCCAAGTCTCTTCTGTAAAAGGGAGTTAATAATAAAATCTACCTCGAGGGCTTTTATGAGAAGTGAGATGAGATGCAAACAGCTGCTGGCACGGTCCTGGCAGGAAGCGCGTCCTGGAGATCGGGCTGTTGTTATGACACCTGTGTCCTGTGCTTGTCCGCCTCCCCTGACAGAGCAGTCCTGTCCATTCTAGTGGACACTCTGGCTGCACGGCTGGACCCACACCGCTCACCTGAACTGGTCAGCACGGTCCTTACAGGCCCCTGTGCTCATCCATGGTGAGCTGCTAACATCTGCCTGTCTCTCTCCTTAAGCCCCAGGGCACCTCCCCCAGGCGCCTTCCCTTCTGAGCTCTGTAATTTTAGGGCAAACCATTGCCTTTCACACGGACTCACTGGGCTCCTTTCCACTTGGGAAACTATTCATTCCTGGAGACGCAGCCCGTACAGCCAGCCCTCTGTGAAAGGCCTCACCCTCCATTTGCTCATTGTAAGGGACACTGACAAGTTTGCCCACCACACAGACAGCTCCCGCAGCTGCCTCGCTTTTCCCCCAGGACCCTGGCAATGGAAACCCGCAGCCACTCAGGGAACTCACCCAGCTCCCAGCCTTGCCAAAGCACAAGAGGGGTGGCTTGGAATAAATAACAACAGTGATTGGCCTTAAAAGAAACTGAAAAAACTCCGGGCACAGGAAAGAGCTTTTAAGAGATTAGGGAAGTTGTTGATTCCATAAAATAAGAGCACACTGCCAGGAAACAAGAGACCAAGGAAGCAAGAAAGGACCCTTGTGTTTAACAAGAGTTTTAGTGGATGGGATGGTAGGACAAGGTAAGGATATGTCTCAAAATATAGAGCATAAACACAAAAAGAAAAATGCAGGAGCAAAAATTAAAGACATAGATAATGAATGCAAATGATCTATTACCTGATTGATAAAATTTCAAGGGAGGAA